ATTCTTAACAGGAATACCCCTGAGGGTCCAATGCCAGAATGGAAATATGCAGCCAGGGATTCAGTGGGTAATTCTTCAATGGCCGTCCATTCCCCTCCCTCCCCTTTCTCCGGGGCATTTGGAGAGGACTGAGTCAGCCTTTTGCACATGGCAGCTGTGTGGGCTTCTTGTGTGGGCGCTCTGACTGTCCATCATACTGCGTACGCTTATCAGACTTGCTGATTCTTACAATTCTTTCATGTGAGTAGAAGCCTTCCCAAGCTGCTGTGAGAATTTCACTTTATTTTCCTAATGTGACTGACTCGGGATTTTGCAGCTCTGCTCCCAGGAGACCTATCAATCAAGGTGGCACTGTGAGAAAGTGCAGACATTAGGGCTTCATACTCTTTTTTTGGTGTGTGTGTGTGTGTGTGTGGGTATCATTTGTAGCACAGAAAATAATCACAGAGGATTTTTTTTTTAAGGCGGAATCAATGAGGTGATGGGGGAAGGGACAGATGTCAGGATTCCACAGAAGATTTGCTATAAAGTCAACGTCTAGAGACCTGAGAATTGCTATTCAGTGACCCTAGCTGTTTGCATCCGTGTCTCAGCATCTGCTGTCATGTGGATAGTCAACAAGTCAGATTCTGAGAGGTTCTTACCCATCTATAAGCACTTTACCCCACCCATGGGTGACCAGCCTGCAATGAGGATTCCCAGTGGCTAGATGAACCTGGCCTGCCCATGTACACACAATCACAGGCGGCCTTTAGGATGGCCCCATTCCCTGTTTTCCACCCGTTAGTATTCACTCACTTGCGTCACCCTTCCCCTTCGGAGTAGGCAGGGCTTACTGATTGGCTACCGGTGCATAGACTATAGAAGTGGCACGTCACTTCTAAGATGAAGTTTAAGGAGTTGGTATTCTTGCTAGGTGCTTTCTCTTCCTCCATCCTCTTCCCTCCCTCCTTTTTTTCTTCTCTCCCTCCTTTGTTCCCTCTCTCTCTTTATATCCTTTTCCTTCCCACTCCTCTCTTCCCCTCTTTCTCCTTTCTTTCTTCCTTCCCTCATCCCCTCCCTTCCTCCCTCCTTCCCTTCCTTTTCTTCTTTTTCTTTCTTTTCCCTTTCATCTTCCTGCAGCCATGCTTGAGGATCCTGGGGCAGCCCACAAGGGAGTGTGTATAACGAGCGAGTGCATAGGAAATCATAGCAGTGGCCTCCTGAGAAACTTAGCCTTGCACATGGAAGACTTTCCCTTGGAAGATTTTCAAGCTTCTGTTGCTGTTTGGTCCATTTTTACTAATCCCATCCTGGGGCTGAGTCATGTCTCAAGGAGAGACTTTGAGCCAGATCTACCTCAGACATGCCTAGATTCCCTCACCAAACTGGGAGAGAATAAAAGCCTGTACTTTCAGACCACTCACATTGAGAGTAATCTGTTACACAGTGACGGATAGTTAGTACACCAGATAGCATCGGTTCTTGATCTGTGGAGTTCCTTCAGACTGTTCCCTTACTATGCTTCTATGGGCTGAAAAGTTCCCCACCCTCCATCCCCTAGCTTTTTGCTTTGGCTCCACCTCTTTATCTTTAGCTCTTGCTCTGGCAGCTATGATTGAAGGTTGGGCCTTGGGCCTTGGACTTATTCTTTGGGTTGTGTTCTTCCTTTCTTTATTTTTTGTGCCCATACTGGGGCTTGAACTCAGAATCTCATATTCTTGCTTGGCTTTTCCATTCAAGACTCTACCAATTGAGTCATGCTCCTTTTCCAGGTTTATTTTTTTGTCAGTTGTGGGGCTTGAACTCTGGGCCTAGGCACTGTCCTTCAGCATTTCAGCTCAAGGAGAGTACTCTACCACTTGAGCCAGAGCACCACTTCTGGTTTTTTGGTGGTTAATTGGAGATAAGAATCTCACAGACTTTCTTGTCTGGGCTGGCTTTGAACTGTGATCCTTAGATCTCAGCCTCCTGAGTAGCTAGGATTACAGGTGTGGGCCACCAGCCCCTGGCTCATCTTCCAGCTTTTGGATGGTTAATTGGAAATAAGAGTCTGATGGATTTTTCTTCCTCGGGCTGGCTTTGAACCTTGATCCCCAGTTTGCAGCCTCCTGAGCAGGGGTTTACAGCAGTGAGCCACCAGAGCCCAGCTGGTTTTATCATTTGGCATTGACCCTGGACCTTCTCCAGACACTTCTTGGGAGATCTTCTTTTGACTTCACACTTCATAATCTTATGCATGCAATGAGTGCCTGAATCCTACCCTGAGCTTTTCATCTGCCCCAAGTCTGCCCCAGAAAGAGGGTGAGAAAATAAATGGACTTACTAGTAAGTTCAGGAAAGCTTCACCAGGCACTCTGGCAAGACTTGGAAGGAAAGTTGAAACAACTTGCTTATCATGAGAAAATTCATGGCATTGTGGCCTTTCACCCTATTCGCATGCTTTCCCTATCAATCAAGGCTTTCCTGCGTTTGTTAGCTGATGGATGGCAACTGACTGGCCTATTTCTTTGGGAAAATAAGATGCTGTTTTCAGATATTTTCCTTTCCCCGCTTTTCTTCCCACCCCTGCCTGACTTAAAAGCCTTCATTCTTTAAATCCAGTCAGCATTTCACTCGTTATTACCATTAATTGTAGAGTTTAGACACTGAAATGATTGGCTCTGGGTTCCATTCCCGGGCTCTGGTGACTTAGGGCTAATAGACCCGAAACTTGCACATTTGGATGCATTTACTTGCTTCTCCTGGTCTCATGATAGTTCAGGCCTCTGAGTAAATCATGAGCCAACCTTAGGTTAGACAATAGAACTGGAACCTAATTTGTGTTTGCTGGATTGCCTCCAGACACTAAGGACTCAAGTTCAGTGTTTCTGTGTGGGTCGCGGGACACTGGCCTAGGTTGGAAATTGGACACGACATTTCTCATCTGCTGTCACCAAGGGAATACTGTACTCATTGATGAAAATGCTTGGTGACTAGAGATGAATGTCCTGCATATAGATGTGTGTAGACGTGGGCTGAGAAGATGAACCAAGATAGTTAAGGCCCACTCGGGATCTGTGTGCCTACTTCCTGGGTGAATCTCATCTATGAAAACTGCTTTACCCTCTCTGACCTGAGAATTTCCCAAGTGATTCTGCAGGCCATGAGCACCGTGGAGTTGGCATCCACACATCCAGCAGTTCCCTGGGCGCTTGACCTTGAACATCCCTTAGGAAATGAGAGCTCCTCTTCACAGCCAAAGCTGCTTTCTTTCCTCTCTTCCTCGTCTTCTGGTATTCCTCCATTTTGTTCCAGCTGGAATCCTGAAGTCATTTGTCCTTCTCTCTCACCCCAGCCTTGTGGTCAGTTGCTGGCTTTGATCGGTTCCCTCTTGCCTGTCTCCAAAATGGGACATTTCTCCCATCGGTTGTCACCCTCCTGTTTCTCAACTCCTCACTGGCCATTTGTCTACCCTGTCCCAGAGCTGTTTTGTGTCCCACCCCTGCTAGAGAGATGAACGCAGAAAGCAGCCTGGTTCATACCACCCTCTGCTGAAAGCCAGACTCTTTACCTCTGTGGGTGAGCCTCTCAAGGTGTAATCATGGCTGACAAGGCGTTGCCTGAGCTCATCTGGCCACGTTTCCATTTCCAATCAAACTCTTTCCCTAATGTATCTTGACTTTGTATGTTTTCTGCACATGAGCACTGCCAGCCTTTGCACACATGATTTCTTTGCTTACTCTCTTGCCAGGTGCTGGTGGCCCACCCCTGTAATCCTAGCTACTCAGGAGGCTGAGATCTGAGGATCACGGTTCAAAGCCAGCGCAGGCAGGAAAGTCTGTGAGACTCTTATCTCCAATAAACCACCAGAAAACTGGAAGTGGCACCGTGGCTCAAGTGATAGAGTGCTTACCTTGAGCTCAAGAACTGAAGGACAGCACCTAGGCCCAGACTTCAAGCCCCACCGCAGACAAAACACAAAACAAAACCCTCTCCCTTGCATCTCACGACTTGATCCTGACTTCTCTTTGTATTCCCAAACCTAACCACTCCTGCAAGCAATCTTCCCTGCCCTGGAGTCTCAGGGGCAGGGGGTGGGGGTGGGAGTGGGGGTGGGGCAGGGGGGCATTCCCCAATGTGCAGACACCATCCTAGCTCTGCCATTGCACACACCTGCGTGAGAGCAGGGGTAGCTGGTGCTCAGGGCGGTGTCTGGTAAGCAGCCCCATCAGAATGGAGGGCCAGCAGTGGAGTGCTGGAAATCCATCCGGGGGAAAGTCCCTGCTAGGGGCCAGAACCTAATGAAAAGCTCCCACCTGCCAATGTCACTCTGCAAAGGTAACAAGCTTGTGCAGTGGACTGAGCGCGTGATTTGGGATACCGAGAGTCCAACTTTGAATCCCAACTCGGCCCCTTGTGGGAGCCAAGACTGACTACCTAAGCCCTGAGCCGCTCCACGGTGAATCAGGGACTGTAACTGGCACCCCGAAGGCTGGTGTAAAGAATACTGCAGGCAGAGTGTGGTGAAGTGCTTACCCCAGTGAACGGCCGACAGGACAGGATTGTCCTGCTGCCCAGAGAAGCCTGTACCCAGGGCGGTGAACTTGTGCTGACAGAGCAGACTTGATAAAAGCCCTGGTTGTCGGATATGATAATAATAGTCTCATTTATTAATATAAAAGCCCGCTAATAGAGGCGGCACTTTTAATTAGCCAACACGGCCACGATATTAATTTCTATCCAGAGTTATTTAAGTCCAGGAGTCTTCCTCCCGTCTTTGGTTAGGACTTAGCTGGAGGGCGATTGAGAACATTTGTAATTGGATTTCTGTGCAGGACTTAATTATAAGGAGACAATAAAACCCCCCGAAATGCGGCAGGTTCTACCCTGCTAACTTATTTTCCAGAGACACGCTCCCACCAATGAATGCACAGATTTATCTAAATTATAATTTTTAAGCTTAACAAAGCTTTACCTCCTTCCTCCCCGCTCCCCCGTCCACCCCCCCGCCCCCCAGGCCTGAGAGAATCCTTCCGGGAGTACAGATTTTCAAGGAGCAGGCACAGAGGCGGAATACTTCATTCCGGTAATCAAGTGTCTCGCACCACGGGCCACTGAACGGCTTCCCCAAAGCCCCTTGAGATATCAGAAGTGTATTTTCTTTCCTTGGCCAAATGGCTTATTAATAGAATTGGCTTATTTATATCTCACCCAGAAAAAAAAAATCCCAAAGTGATACAGCAACTGGGAGATATCGAGCCAATTAGTTGTTGGGCTTGTTGTCATGTGTGTGTGTATGTGTGTGTGGGGAGAATCGAGTTATTAATTTTCTACCCTTCACTAGTGGCGGAATCGATGCGGAGGAAACCGGAAAGAATGAAGAGAAGCACGCGTCTCAGCCCACCTGAGAAAACTCAGGGAGCAGGTGAAAAACCTCCACAGCTGCGGCCAAGCCATCCAATCAGAGGACAGTGGGAAGCCCAGGGCCTGCTCTGTGGTGGGCCAGAGGTAATGTGGACCCCATTTATGCAGTGTCCACAGTGGGCCTGACTCTTTACAGCCATAGTTGGTTTAGGTCTTAGCAACTCTTCTGGAAAAGGAGCTTAGTTCACCTCTTTGACCGAAGAAATGGGTGCATTCGCTCATCCATTCAGTCTTTATTGAATTTTGTTCAGGTCAGGCTGTGGAAACACAGCTTTCTCATCTCGATGGAAATAGTTGTTTAAGGTTACCAGCCGGCTAAGCTAGAGTTATTGTTATTCTTTTCTTTTAAGGTTATAAGTAATGGTTTTATTAGGACATTTTCATACGTGTATATCATGTATTTTGACCATATTCACTCCCTGATATCTTCTCTTGTCCCTCCCATTCTTCTTCTACTTTCATGTATTTTTGTGTTGTTGCTCTTTTAAATTCTAGATTCTGCATATGAGAAAAAAATACAGTATTTATCTCTTCGTTTGGCTCACTTAACATGATGATCTCCAGGTCTATCTCTTTCCGTAAATGATATAATTTCACTTTTATTTATGGCCGAATAGTACTCCATTGTGGATGTGTATCATATTTTTTTGATCCATTCATCATACATAGGCATCTAAGCTGATTCCACAGTGTGAGTATTGTGAATGGAGTTACAATAAACATGGTCGTGTGGGTATCTCTATTGTCTGCTGATATATATTCCTTCAAATATATGTCCAAGAGCAGTAAAATAGGATACTATGGTAGTTCTGTTTTTAGTTTTTAATTTCTATAGTTTTGGCTGATAGTGACTAGATGAATTTACATGCTCACTGGTAGTTTCTCAGGTTGGTTGTGATAATGCCAGTGTGGGGAATGGCATTTCCTTCTTCTGGGTGCTTAGCTTCCTATGAAGCATGTGCCGCAAGTGGCCACCTACCCTTCCCCCACCTGACTGTGCATGCAGTCTTAAAGGGGGAAGAGAGGTCACAAGAACAGTATAGAACCCAGAAGTGGATGGAAGGTCTACTTGGATGGGAGGTGGGAGAGGACCATTTTGCAATCTTCCAAGACCGATTGGTTAAGGAAGTTAGCGCGTTCAGGAATGCAGGATTTCCTGTTTTCCATATCCTTATTATTTTATTATAAATTCATTGTACAAGTGGGTTTTATTTGACATGTCTATCATATGCATACAACGTAGCTTGGTCAGACTCATCATCTTCATACCTTTCTTTCGTCCCCTTTCTCCTTTCTAAACCACTTTCAACCACACTCCTTACTCTCTTTTTATACATATACATAAAGTATTTCAGCCACATTTACCTCCCTCATACTCTTCACTTCCCCCTCCCACTAATACTCCCACTGCGGAGCAATGCTCAGCATTCCTAGCCATAAAGGAACTACAAATCAAAATGGCATTGCGAGTTCATCTCACTGCAGTCAGAATGACTACCAGCAAGAATATAAACAACAAATCCTGTGGAGGATATTGGGGAAAGGGACTCTTATAAGCTTTTGGTAAGAATGCAACCACCATGGAAATCAGTAGGGAGATTTCTTAGAAAACTGAAGCTTGAACTATCAGATGACTTAGTGACATCACTCACAGGCATTTATCTGAAGGAATATAACCAGGCTACAATAGAGGCACCTGCACACCCATGTTAATTGCAGCACTACTCACAATAGCCAAGGTATGGAATTGACCTTAAATGTCCATGGATCAAGTATACATACATAATACATGTATATATATATATATATATATACACACACACACACATAGAGTATATGTATATATGTATACACACACACACACATATAGAGAGAGAGTATTATTCAGCTATAAAGAAAAATAAAATAATGTTATTTGCAGGAAAATGGATGGAACTGGAAGTCATCGTATTAAGTGAAGTAAGCTAGGTTCAGAAGGTCAAAGGTCACATGTCTTCTCTCATGGATGCTAGACCTAAAATATACAAAAACACACCCAAGCTGGGCACCAGTGGCTCATGCCTATAATTCTAGCTACTCAGGTGGCTAAGATCTGAGGATCATTTTTTTGAACCAACCTGGGTAGAAAAGTCCCTATGAGACTCTTATCTCCAGTTAACCACTCAAAAACCAGAAGTGGAACTATGGCTCAAAATGATAGAGTGCTAGCCTTGAGCAAAAAGAGCTCAGGGACAGTACAAGTTCAAGACCCATGACCTACAAAACAAAACAAAACAAAAAACAAAACCACACATGGAGCACCATATATCTATATATGCGTATATATAGGTATCATGTTCTTTCTATCTCCCTAATATTTGTAATTGTGGGGCCATTTGAAGGGATTGACAGGAAGAGAATTTTAGAGGATGGACAATACCAAAATATATTGTATCTGTGAATGAAAATAATAAAATAAAACTCACCAAGAGCTGTTGAATAATAGGGAATAGTAGGGACAGAAGAACTGAGCGTGAGGTAATCAACCAGATTAAAGTAGCATATATCTGTGTGTGAAGCACCACGGTGAAACCTTTGAACAATGTGCATAAACTTAAAAGAGTGAACCTCAAGAATGTAAAACAGGTCTTGACTGTGTGTATTTTTCTTTTGAAAACAATTACAGGCCAGCCATAAAGGTAGCTGGTGGTAGTGTTCTTGCCTAGAATGTGTGTGGCCCTGGGCTGATTTCCATTCTAGCAACACACACACACACACACACACAATTATAGTCACACTTATAGAATTATAGTTACACCTACAGAAATTGGAGTTGAAGGGTGAGAATCAGAACAAGAAGAAAATCACCCACAACCCCACTGACTCATTCAAATCATACTGTAACATGTTACAAACAGCTTTACAAGTCATTAAAAATTCCTGGACATAATTTTAAGAGAAAATATAATATTCCATCTTGTGGCTATCTCATAATTTATTTAAATGTTCCTATATTGGCAGACATTTAATTCATTTCCATTTAGTATTATAAATAAAAGAGATGGGCATATTTGTCCATACTTTTACTGGCTCCAAATTGAAGTGGAATTATTGCGACAAAGACAAATGAATATTTTAAACACTCTGGAGACTTTCTGCCATGTGGTACTCTAAAAATATTGTGCGAATGTCTGTTGAGCCATCACTGCATGAGAGACCCATCATGGCTTTGCAGTCAGTTACCCTGCGTTGGCTTTGCTAGTTTGCTAGGGTAGAACTGTATGTCACTATTCTGTTTCTTCATACCACAGCTTTGTACCTTTAAGACATCCTTTGTATTTCTTCTGCAAGGAGACTATTTTTGTCCCTTGCACATTTTTCTTTTGAGTTTAGAGCATTTTTTATGTTTATAAATGCTACTTCATATTTTAAGCACATTCACTTTCTGATATTTTTGTGGGAGACATTTTTCTCAGGTTGATTTTGCTGTTTATGTTTACTTTCTGTGCTGTTCTTTTATAGAGATGGTTTGGATTTTTATGTGGCAGCATATATCTTTTTGTCCCCCCTTTGGGTTTTCTCCATTTGCTTTTTTAAGCTCAGAAATTTCATCTCCACACTGAACTAGCTATACTAATTTCTATTTATGGTTTTCTTCCCTCCCTCCTTTCTTTCTTCCCTCCCTCTCTTCCTTCTTTCCCCCCTCTTCCTTCCTTCCTTCCTTCCTTCCTACTCTCCTTCCTTCATTCCTTCCTTCCTGTCTTTCTTTTATCACATAACTAATTCATCTGAAATTTGCCTTGTTCTACATTGCATGGTGAGGATTTAAATTGATTTTTCCCTAGTAACTCATTTATTTCAGCATTGTTTTTCAAAGGATGTTTTCTTTTTCTATTGTCTTAGATACCTCTCTTTATTGCATGCTAAATTTATTTATTTATTTATTAACATACAATGGACTACCCTGAGCTATTTCACTCTGTTCAATTGGTTCCTCCATTATAATCACATTTTTATAATTGTATCTTTACATTTTCACATAGTTAAAAATATAATGCACTTGTATGTGAAATGAAACATCCTGATATACTGTAGAACAACTATCTAACAATTACTTTGTTTTGAAGGAGAGAAAAGAAGTCCATTTCTGTTCATGTATTTTTTCCAGATGGATTTTAGACTCATGTTATCTATCTCCATGAAAAAAAAGCTCATTTTGATTGTTTTGTAATGGATTGGATTCAATGTGTAGCTTAATTCATGAAGCACTGTCATCTTCATACTCTTCATCTCAGAATATTACAGTTTTTTTTCCTCCCTTTTCACATTGCTTTTGCTGGCTAACTCTTAGATCTCAATAAAATTCCAGTGTACACCATGAGATGAAAAAGTTGATTCTTATTCAGATCAGCTTTTCAATTATCCCAGTGTATAATTCACATCTTTTCTAATGATTTTCAAGCCTCTGTGTGTGTGTGTGTGTGTGTGTGTGTGTGTGAGAGAGAGAGAGAGAGAGAGAGAGAGAGAGAGAAAGAGAGAGAGAGAGAGGAGAGAGAGAGAGAGAGAGAGAGAGAGAGAAAGAGAGAGAGAGAGAGGGAGGGAGAGAGAGGGAGAGAGAAGGAGAGAGGGGATTGATTTCTAGGCTGTTTAATCCAATGATGTTTAATCCATGTTTAATCCATGCTGATGTCATTATTGCCTGGTCTTTCCAGTAGTGTCTAGGGACCCTTGGCATCACTTCCTGCTTTCGCCCAAATCAGGACTCATTTTCTGAATATAGACTCAGCCCATTGGTCAACACGTCTAGTCAGAAACTTTTGATTTATTTGAGTCAAGAGTCTCATCCTATAGCTCAGTCTGGCCTCTGAAAGCCTCAGTTCTCCTGTTTTAGGTTCTTGGAGTTCTGTGATTACAAAAATGCACCTCCACACCCAGTTTTTGGTCAGAAACGTTTTTTAGTGACTCAAAGAAAATCTGATGGAGCCAGGGGCCAGTGGCTCACAACTGTCATCCTAGCTATTCAGGAAGCTGAGATCTGAGGATTGTGGTTTGAGGCCACCTGGGGCAGTAAAGTCCGTGAGACTATTATCTCCAAAAAACTGCTG